ATATATAATAAAATAAAAAAGATTAAATAACTTACAGCATTTATTTTTAAAAGAAGCCCCCCTCCCCTTTTTAGTTTGCAAAAGTAATCTCGAAAAGAAGCCAATCCAAGGGTGCTAATAGAGAAAAGCCCAGGGCTTCTATTTGAGGTTTTCACGGTCTGCAGAAAAAGAAAACCCAGGATGTATATTGTTGAATTTGCTAAAAAGAGACACCTAATGAAAATTTATAAATAAACAATTACATCATAATTGGATTATAAAATCTTGCTTGTTAAATACACTCTTTTATTAAAACTAAAGCCACCTAAAGCATTAACATGTGTTCATAGCACCTATCAACGTCTTTTTCTGTTCTTTTCATACCACACAAATATTGATTTTAGAGTAGCTATTGCTCTTGCTCCCACCATATGGCAACCTTCATCTCTATCTCTCACCTTCCACTATTTTGCTTCATAACATACCAAAGGTGTGAAAATCAATGTGTGTTATCGAAATTGTTCATTTCATATAAATGGAATTAATCAGCTGACAAAAAGATTTTTTTATACCTTGTTTCGCAAACTTTTTTTGTTTCAAGATCATCAGAGGAGGGCGGAAAAAAAATAAAAATAAAATTCTGTTTTCTCATTTAGCAAAATGATTTTGCCAAAACCATCTAGTCATGGAAAAAAATAATAATAATAATGTTATTTATGAATTAAACAGTGTTGTAATGAAATTGATAAATTCATTATATTTATATAATTAAGGAAGAGATATATCTTATTTTTGGAGATTTTTTGAGAGCAGTGGGCATGTGAAATTTCCATTTTTTCGTGGTGGAGAGGGCTAACGCCGCCAAAAATGTTGTTTTTGTACAAAATCACCATTTTTTGCAGTCGGAGTGCACACTAAAACAAGGTACAGTAGAACCTCGTTTTTACGTACCGCAGTTATACGAACCCTCGGTTTTACATACGCTTCGTATGGATGATGACGTCATCAAAAACCCCGAAAATATTCAAAACAAACGGCCCTTTTGAGAGCAACCATAAGTAAAAAAGAATATAACAATAAACTATAACAATAAACAAACCATAATGCAACATGTTTTCATTAAACAGCAACGTTGATTGAGTTTAATACCGGGTTGTTATAATCTAAAACCATGTGAACTGAGTGAGATGAACAACTACCGATGGTGCTCAAAATTATTGCTTTCCTCCTTAGCTTCGGGTGGCAAACCATGGAAGAACTCGTCTGGTCGAATTTTCTACACGAAGCTGAGTAGACGTAGTTTCGTGCACGAACGCTAATTGGTTGGCTCGCCAAGTGCATAGCACATGGTTGCTGTTTCACGTACACGAACGCTAATTGGTTGGCTCGCCCAGTGCAGCGCACATGGGTTTAGTTTGTCTCAACAGGCCCAGACAAACACCACATCTCTGTTGTTTAGAATAGGCATGAAGGGGAATTCCCAAGTTATACCTTTGTCGTATAGGTAATCTTACAATATTTTCTTGTTCTTTATTTTAGTTAAATAAAAGATATAAAGTGATGAATTAATACACTAGACACATGGTTTTATTTGAACACTTTATTATGACATCGTAAAGTGATGAATAAAAACACTAAACACATGGTTTTATTCGTAGGCCTAGAGGCTAGATCTAGCCTAGGTATCATCGTTCGTTCGTTCATACGTTTATTGAGCGTTACGTACGTATTAGGTCAAAGGTTACCACAAATTTAACCCAACCTCTATTTTACGAATCCCCCGATTTACGTACGCCCTCTGGTCCCGTACTGTACGTAAAATCGAGGTTCTACTGTATAAAGAATGTCTCGCCTTTAAATATTCAGTCACATTTTCCTGAGAGGTCTACTGTGTGAATGAACTCTGTGTTTTAGTCTGTAAAATTATATTTGTTTTAATTTAGACAATTTATGTGGTTATATTTTACCATACAGTAGGGCCTATACTGCACACCAAACTTGTTGTTCTTTTATTCGTGTATTTTAGTTACGGTACTATTGATTTACTTTTATATTCGATCCTACAGTATTGTTTTCTATTGTATTTTATCCAATTCTAAATTGAGATTACAATGAAGGTTACGTGTATACACCTTTTTTTGGTATTAAACTAAAGAAAATATATTTGTATTATGATAATAAAATATATATAACAGAATAAGTAAATGCATAAAAAGAGAACACACAATCAAGACATCAACAATTAAGTTAAAAATAGAACAATTATAATAGAATGACCGAGCTATGGCAGGCAGTTAAAAAGATTACACAAGGTAGTGGGGTATTTTTAAACTTTGTTATTTCTATTTCTATTTCTGGATATGTCTAATTTCATTCTGTAGGCATCTTATTTCAAATGAGTGATTTAAAGCAAATTATAAATTACAGTTATAAATATCTAATTATTAAAAGCTAATGATTACTTTGTTTAATGCAAGAGAAATAACACAAGGTAGTGGGGTATTTTTAAACTTTGTTATTTCTAATGGATATGTCTAATTTCATTCTGTAGGCATCTTATTTCAAATGAGTGATTTAAAGCAAATTAT